AAAATTTTCAAGATGAGAATGGACAATATCTATTTATCAACTTGAAGCAAAGCGTTGGCAACTACTTATAAAATAGGAAAGTATATTTTTGTATAATCAGGGCAAAGGAGTATACCAGTACAATACCTATATTTTGTATAATCAAGGTAAAGGAGCATACTAGTACAATACCCATACATGTAATTAATTGTATATTTTCTTTTATTACCCTAAGAATGAGTATATTAGGGCTCTCTAATTCAATAATATAGACAACATTTTATTCTTCCGCAGAATGCACACATATAAAATTGCAAACACAAAAAACCCTAAATTATCGTCAGTCAATTCACCAGCCACCACCTATCAGCAACCTCCCACGGCCTTGCTGCAAAAATCTGTCCAAAAATGCACCACTTGCCACCACAAGTTCTCCCAACTGCTACCTCTGTTAATCCCAATGTTTCCTATAGCTGCATCTCAACTCAACTTTTTAATACAAAATTTTTGTATTATTTAGGAGCTTATTTTTATATTTTAGTAACTTTAGAATTTTATTTTTTTAGTATTTAATTTTTCTATTTTGTATTAGTAGTAGTGTTTTCTAACCTTATACGTATTCATATGCTTAGCCTAATCTTATTTGGGAAAGGTTATTTAGGAAGTATTATGAATACCTTTACAATTTAACTTTCAAAAGACTTAGTTATTCAAAAAAGTATTTTGAGACTTTTACCAATTTTTAGTACTAAGATGCAATCAAAATCTTAATTTAATACTTCATACTTCTTAGTTATGATGCCTAAGAAATCCAAGTGTCATATCTAGGTTTTTGTCCCCAAATTCCTAAGCAAGCAAATCAACTCTTATTTGTCATACATCATTTAATTGTGAACTTTTGTTTATATGATCTACTTTCAAGCTTTATGGCCTTTCAAGCAAGAACCTATGATGTCCAAATTAAGTTTATTTTGACTGAAAACCTACTTGTCAAGCTAAGCAAACTTAAATTTCCAATATACAAGCAGTATGATGATGATAATAATAATAACAACAAGAACAACAATAGTTAAATAACAATAATAATAATAACAATAATATAATAATAATAATAATTTCCCTTTAAAATATTTAGTATAATCAGCACCAACATGAAACTACGAACAATATGATGAAAAATTATTGCAACAATGCTAACCATACCACAAAGGAACATGAAGACAATTCAACAAACAGCGACTAAATATCTGTTTTGTAGCATCGTCATTATTCACAGCCATGTATGCCTCTACATACTGCTTCCAATACTTTGCCTGTTGAAAAAGAAGAATAAGTTCAGCAATGTATCAGACAACACGCTGAAAAATCAAAGTCCTCTCTATAGACTCTCATCGTATCACGTCCCCCTATACTTTAGTTTAATGAATAGCATCAGGCCGACCAATATTTTACAATACAAAAAATTTTGATAGAGAATATTTTTAAAAAAACTATTATAAGGAAGAGGAAAGGCTACTACAATAGAAGGGACAAAAGTTCTTGGAACTTCCCCTTTTCCATAACCTTAACAATTCAAAGCCCTTCGACTGAACATCCTCGCATGCTCTATTAGATTCATTTAACTTTTGTTTCAGAACTAATCATAGAATTGGTCCTCAGATCTCTTGGAATGTTTACTTCTTGGGTTTTTCATCACCCTTCAATTGCAAATTTGACCTTTACTAATTTCTTTAAAGGTCAAGGTTCACCATAAGGTTAAAATTTTTGTTTAGCTGGCAATAAACAATCTGATTAAAACTAATGAGCTATTGCAAGCTCACGAATACTGGTATGTCTCTCCATTATGATGTCATGTTGTGATTATACAATATACTCCTTGCTTTGTTAGGAGAAAACTAGGTAACTCTGCCGCTGTAGATTCCTTCACTTCCATTAACCCTTCAAAAGAAAAAGAGCCAAGGAGCATCAGGTTTTACAGAGAGATGCACTTCTTATGAGCATGTGATTTATAGTTGGAAGGGGATTTAAACAGCATGTCCAGACACCAAATTACCTTTGCAGAGGGGTGCTTTTAGCTACTTTTGAACCAAGGCACATGTGAGTTTTCAAGAGGAGGGAGGGGTCTCTTATTTATGTTACGAAGAGACTAGGTGCTTTATCATGTTGTGGCTAATTTTTCTTTTCTCTCCTTATTTGCTTTTTATTATTTTCTCTAGGAGAGATCTTGTAAAACAATCAAACAGCAAATGGATCAAGTTCCTTTAGCATGCTTAATTATGGGAGAAGGAAACACATGACTGTTGTGGCAATTACACCTCTTTTTAAAAAAATAAAGGGTATAATATAATTCATTGATTCATAAGCACCAAAGTAGTGCCACCCATGCTATAGATTAGTGCCACTGTAGATAATAGAAGACTGGTGCCAGGAAAACAGGGAAACAGCACCATAGCCGCTGACCACTTCATAACCAGCCACTTCATAAGCACCATGCTCATAGACAATGGAAGTGAAGGAAATTACCACGGGGAAACAGCATGTCCAATCAAACCCAGTCTTCATAACCGGCCACTTTAGACAAGCCGCCAGCACCATAGCCGCCAACCACAAGCAACAGCACCAGCCTTTATTGTTGGCAGCAAATGTAGAGTTGCAAGTTGTGGCTCCTCCTTCTGCCACCATAATTGCAACGCTACCCTACCATGCCAACTCCAGTCGTCTCCCTGCTTAACCGCACACACCAACCTGCATAGTAGCCTCCCTACTCTCGAGGCCTTCCTGCATAGTCGAGCACTCCACACTGCCAACCGCTAACCTCACAGCCTCCATTGCCAAGCCACATCATCATTGTTGTCCAGCTGATAAGACCATTATTTTTTTGGTTTATTTAGTTGAATTTAATTACCCTAAAATGTAAATTATGTAAGAGGCTATGTCTCAAATCACCGGCACAAATTCCTACAAGGGAAATTCTGCACAACTAATGGTGAATTTCAACCAATTCAAGTTTTACACCGCTTCAATGGGAAGGATTATCTAAGTTGGTCACAATTGATTCGGACCACTCTCAAGAGCGGAAGAAAGCTAAGTCATCTCCTTGGCACTTGACCAAAGCCGAAAGATCCCGCTTTTGATGCTTGGGATGAGGAAAATTCTATGATATGATCTGGCTCTTAGACTTTATGGCTACAGAAATCAAAAACAAATTATGTGCCTACCCACAACAAAGACATTTGAGATTC